TCCACTGGGCCACTTGTTGGTCTATTCTGGCCCTTGGGCTGTATGTTTGACACATCTGGTCCTAAGCTTTCCACTTCAGCCATAAAATCTAAACGGTTATATTCAGCAACCAGAGAATTGGATCATTTGGAAAATTAATTCATCGAAAAATATTATTATCACCCACGACCCTGAATTGGATAAGCAGAAGAGAATGGTTGGATATTTATTTTAAAGCTTTGAAAACATGTTACAAATGAAGTTCCCCTTGTAAAAATAGAATAAAAATGAGTAGTAACGAGGCTGAGTAATCTGATACGGCTTAAGTTTCATCTAATGTTAATCAGCCACGGTATGGTTGGAATCCACATGTGTTGGTCCTGTGAGTATTTTCAGCAGCACGATTGTGCCTGATGGGGTCTACACCTCACTGAGAGGGAGCAGACAGTTCAGCCTTTAATTCACTTATACAAGAAGAAAAGAAAGATGCACATTCAAGAATTAAAAGATTAACGTTTCAAAAAACTCAAAACTTTCCAGGAAGCAGAAACCATGTAATAAAAACGCTACTTTCTGTGTGTTTCGTTCACCTGTTACTCTGAGCAGCAGGTAAAACCGTCAAAGCTCAACCACTAAACAAAGGCAGCAAATGCAAACATGTGGGAAACCAAACCCTTACCTGAGAGCACACTGGGATACGGACGTCCTCCGGAGAAGAAGCGAGAGCGGGAAAGAAGTTTCGAGACCACACCATTTATATGCGCTGTCCTCCCGGGCCACGCCCCCTTCCTCAGCGGCCCAACTTTAAAGGTCACGTGACGCTGCGAACGAGTTTAATTAGTGAAGACCCTTGTAAAGTCTGCAGGCCCAAGTTTTTAAATTGCAACTCTGTCCACTTTATACATTTCCCGTCTGACCAGCAGGTTGAATCTGAGTCACTGCAGAGGACAGCTTTCCTATGCAAGGCCTGCCAACCTTGACTGAAGAGAACAATGGCTGGCACCAGCAGCTGATAGCCTGTTTAGGCCTAATATGGGCATTGTCAGTGAGG